TTCTAGGATTAGTATGAAAAGAATGGGGGAGAGAGGACAGCCCTGTCTCGTCCCATTGGTGATGGTTACTGGATGTGAAAGCTGACCATTGACCCTAAGTCTGGCAGTCGGTGAGGAGTAAATTGCATCCAACCATTCTTGCCAGCGGGGGCCAAAGCCTAATTGCCTCATTGTTTGTTTTAAGAGTGCCCAGCTAACTCTATCGAATGCTTTCTCTGCGTCGATAGCTAATAGAATGCTTTCAATTTTGTGTGTTTGTGCCCAATGCACCAGGTTAATTATTTTAGTTGTGTTATGTTTTGCTTCCCTACACGGGACAAATCCCGCCTGATCTTGGTAAATTAGGCCCGGCAGATAAGGCTTCAGCCTGGTGGCCATGATTTTGGTGAGAATTTTTAAATCTGCATTTATCAACGAGATGGGTCTGTAATTGCCACAGGACGAGGGGTCTTTCCCCGGTTTGGGTATTAGAGTAATGGTTGCTTCTAGGGCTGATTTAGGTATTTTCGTCGAAAGTTTGTGGTCATTAAATGCATTCACAAAGGGCTGCGCTAGTGTTTGGGCTAATAATTTGTAGTATTTCCCAGTGAATCCGTCTGGGCCTGGGCTTTTACCTATGGGGATGGTCTTAACTACCTGTTGAAATTCTTCAACCGTTATGGGTTCATCAAGGAAAGCCCTGTCTATAGATGGCAGTGTGTGTTTTATTCTGGGTGCTAAGAAGTCTATTATGTCTTGTGTGGTTGGTTGGGTGGATTTCAGGTTATATAGGTGAGTGTAAAATTTATGGAATGCTTTCAGTATGTCTGGCATGTGGCATGTGGTAGTACCGTCCTCCGTTTTGATTTCGGAGATGAAGCTGGATTGTCTGCCTGTAGTGTTTGCGCGAGCAGCTTCCCCGCTTTACCTCCCTGTGAGTAGTATGAGCTTTTTGTGAGCAAGAGTTTCCGTTTAGCATGTAATGTCAGGAGTGTCGTGAGTTCCGACCTTTTATTGAGTAGGAGATTATAGTTTTGAAGAGAGGAGGTACCCTGATGGGAAGTTTCCATAGCTTTTATGTCTTTAGTTAGTTGGATGATCGTCTGTTCCCTCTTACGTTTGAGTGTCGTTGCTAATCGAATCAGTTCACCCCTAAGGACTGCCTTATGAGCCTCCCATGTCATAATCGGGGTCTTGTCCTGAGTGGAGTTTTCTTTAAAGTAGTTTGTGGCGGCTACTTTTATTTGGTTGATGGCCTCCTTATTATTCAATATTAGGTCATTGAGTTTCCATTGGGCTGTGGGGTTAGGCATGGAGGGTATGGACAGCCTAAGTGTGAGTGGCGCGTGGTCCGACCATGTGATTGGTCCATATGAGGCCGTGTTGATCAAGGGTAAATGTCTGTGGTGGAGGAAGATTGTGTCGATACGTGAGTAGGTGCCCGTGGGTGCGGAGTAGAACGAGTAGTCTTTTTTCGTGGGGTTAACTGCTCTCCAGCTATCATATAGTTGGGCATTGTGCAGTGTGTTTTTCATTTGTAATCTTGACTGTGTTAGGTAACTCTGGGAGGCAGAGGTAGTATCTAGGTCTACATCTAATGAGATGTTGATGTCTCCCCCTATTATAAGAATCCCCTCATAGAAGTTATTTAATTTGCGCAGTATCTTGTTGAGGGCGTGAGATTGTTTCTTGTTGGGCAAATAGATGTTCGCTAGAGTGATTTGGGCGTTCCCTATTTTCCCTTTCACGAAAATGTACCTGCCTGCATCATCTACCTGTTGATCCTGGTGTGTGAATTGCGTCTGTCGGCTCACTAATATAGCCACCCCCCGTGCCTTAGCTTCTGTGTAGTGACTGAAGTATCCTCTCGGATAGTCCCTGTTTTGGAGCCTAGGGGGGGCGTCCTTGCGGAAGTGTGTTTCCTGCACGAACACAAAGTTTGCCTTATGTCGTTGGAAGTCAGTTAGTGCTATTGACCTTTTTTCTGGGATATTAAGTCCTTTAGCATTTTGGGAGACGACTATTATGGTGGACATCTCTGCCGTGTGTTTGACTCGTTTGGGGCGAAATTAGGCGGAGCAGTGTGTTGCTTATGTTCAGTGAGTTGTGTTGTATGGGTGAGTTGGAGCCTCTGTCAGACTTACCCCGTGAGAGTTTCAGGGAGTGTGTGGGGCAATGGGTGGTGCCTGTTACCTCGTTCCAGGACGTGTCTGCAGAGAGAGTGGGGTTCCTCCCAGGCCCACCCTGGGCGCCCGGCTGCGCAGCTAACCCAGATGAATTTAATTTAATCTCAGATTTAGCCAAACAAGGTCTATGTAACGAAATACAACAATTTCCACAATATAACGATAATAGAGATGTGGACGATCCAGTCCTGTGGAGTGCCTTAAAATGTACGATAAGGGGCTATCTGATGAAAACAGATGTTTATTTAAGGAAAAAAGAGAAAAGACTTTCAGACTTACATCTCGAGCTAGCGAGTATGGAAAGAGTAAATAAATTAAATCCAAATTCGATTTCAGCAGAGAAAATAATCAAAGTTCAGAAGGAGATAGGTGGCAAGCTAGATGAGAAGCTTGAAAAGATTATATACAATTCTAAGCAAAAATGGTATTACTCTAATAATAGAGTAAATAAAACACTCACGAATAAGCTTAAACAAAAAAATTTAATATGGAATATATCTCATCTAGTAGTATGTGAAAAGGTTATCTTAGGCCAATTAAAAATTGCTGACCCTCTGATTTCCCCACTGTTGATCAGGTTGTTTATTTTTGGGGGGGAGAAAGGAGATATTCTGGATGAGTTGCTTCAGGCTTCTATTTGTCAAATTCCAAAGATAGGAAAGGATCCCTCCCTTTTAGAAAACTATAGACCAATATCACTCATCGATTTAGATGTAAAAATATTTTCAATAATTCTGGCGGACAGATTAAAAAATATAATTGCAAATATAATCCACCCAGAACAATCTGTATTTATACCAGGAAGAACAGAGAAAGATAACTCTCATAAATTATTAAACCTGATCACAGAAATACAGAGAAGGGCTATGCCATCGGTCTTCTTGGCGCTAGATGCTGAGAAGGCTTTCGATAGGGTAAGCTGGACCTTCCTGTCTGAGACCTTAGATGTTTTTGGGATTTAAAGTTTATTCAAAGTCAGCTCCATGGCTCTTTACAGTAATCCTAGTGCGAAGATAACGGGCCCTGCTCTTAATTCTACATTTTTCAGTTTGCGTAACGGAACTAGGCAGGGCTGTCTTCTGGCTCTGCTGTTATACGCATCAAACCACTGGCAGCTGTTATAAGAGCAACAGAATCAATAGAGGGCATCAGGGAAATAACCAAATTTTCTAAATTTCACTTTATGCCGATGATATTATACTTACCCTTACTGCCCCTGAAACTTCTATACCTGTACAGTTATCAAGAATTGCGGCATTTAGTCCACTCTCTAATGATAAATTAAATTTACCTAAGACTCAAGTAATATCAACTGGATTATCCCCTCTCCAAAAACATTATCTTCAAGATAAGTTCCAATTTAAATGGAATAATAATCATATTGAATATTTAGGTATCAAGATCTTATTTGACTTTAATTGAATTGTTTTAGAGAACTATAATAAATTATTAGATGATCTGGATTTGCAGATAAATAAATTTTTAAAAATTTCTTGAGTTTTCTTGGCTGGGTCGGATCAACATGATCAAGGACTATTCAGTACCTTAAGTAATTTACTTTTTTATAATGATCCCAATTCGGGTTTCAGGTAATATCTTAGATAAAATAAAAAAAACTCCTGTTATCTTTCATATAGAAATGTAATAAATCTTGAATTGCTCAAAAAACTATAAAGAGAGACGGTATCCAATAAGGTTTAAATTTTACCAGATACTACTTCATAATATAACAATGTTCACTCATGTACTAGCTTGGGTACTCAAAAATAACTGGAGTAAGGGGTGGTTTATCCGTGAGAAATCCAATCTAAATGGTCAAAATCGACTTAATTTATTGTGCTTAAAATCTTCTCATATCTAATCTCTAGATCTGAATAATAATATAATCATAAGAGATGCAGTTAAAACCGTGGCAAAGGTCAGAGAAAGGTTGAGTATTATTAATTTCCTCACCTCATTTACTCCACTAAAGGTCCTTAACTTGTATATACAGTGAGGGGGGAAAGTATTTGATCCCCTGCTGATTTTGAACATTTGCCCACTGACAAAGAAATGATCAGTCCATAATTTTAATGGTAGGTGTATTTTAAGAGTGAGAGACAGAATACAAAAAAAAAAAAAATAGCCAGAAAAACACATGTCAAAAAAGTTATAAATTGGTTTGCATGTCAATGAGTGAAATATGTATTTGATCCCCTATTAAGCAGCAAGATTTCTGGCTCTCAGGTGTCTTTTAAACAGGTAACAAACATAGATTACGAGCACTCTCTTAAAGGGAGTGCTCCTAATCTCAGCTCCTTACCTGTATAAAAGATACCTGTCCACAGAAGCAATCAATCAATCAATCAGATTTCAAACTGTCCACCATGGCCAAGACCAAAGAGCTGTCCAAGGATGTCAGGGACAAGATTGTAGACCTACACAAGGCTGGAATGGGCTACAAGACCGTTGGCAAGCAGCTTGGTGAGAAGGTGACAACAGTTGGTGCGATTATTCGCAAATGGAAGAAACATAAAATAACTGTCAGTCTCCCTTCGTTTGGTGCTCCATGCAAGATCTCACCTTGTGGAGTTTCAATGATCATGAGAATGGTGAGGAATCAGCCCAGAACTACACGGGAGGATCTTGTTAATGATCTCAAGGCAGCTGGGACCATAGTCACCAAGAAAACAATTGGTAACACACTACGCCGTAAAGGACTGAAATCCTGCAGCGCCCGCAAGGTCCATCTGCTCAAGAAAGCACATGTACAGGCCTGTCTGAAGTTTGCCAATGAACATCTGAATGATTCAGAGGAGAACTGGGTAAAGTTTTCTGGTCATATGAGACCAAAATCGAGCTCTTTGGCATCAACTCAACTCGCTGTGTTTGGAGGAGGAGGAATGCTGCCTATGACCTCAAGAACACCATCCCCACCGTCAAACATGGAGGTGGAAACATTATGCTTTGGTAGTGTTATTCTGCTAAGGGGACAGGACAACTAAACCACATTAAAGTGACAATGGACTGGGCCATGTACCATCAAATATTGGGTGAGAACCTCCTTCCCTCAGCCAGGGCATTGAAAATGAGTCGTCGATGGGTATTCCAGCATGACAATGACCCAAAACACACAGCCAAAGCAACAAACGAGTGGCTCAAGAAGAAGCACATTAAGGTACCTAGTGGCCTAGCCAGTCTCCAGACCTTAATCCCATAGAAAATCTGTGGAGGGAGCTGAAGGTTCAAGTAGCCAAATGTCAGCCTGGAAACCTTAATGACTTGGAGAGGATCTGCAAAGAGGAGTGGGACAAAATACCCCCTGAGATGTGTGCAAACCTGGTAGCCAACTACAAGAAACACCTGACCTCTGTCAGAGGGGTCAATTACTTATTTCACTCTTTCACATGCAATACAATTTATAACTCTTTTGATATGTGTTTTTTTTTTTCTTATTCTGTCTCTCACTGTTAAAATACACTTACCATTAAAATTATAGACTGATCATTTATTTGTCAGTGGGCAAATGTTCAAAATCAGCAGGGGATGAAATACTTTTTTTTTCTCACTGTACAAGTTCTTGACTTAAGTGGATGGACTGAGAGAAATATTGTCCTTGTGGACATTTAGCTAAACACTGGTATACGAACATTTAGCCAGCTTAAAGATGAATACAATCTCTCAAGCCGGGACAGCTTTCCTTACCTGAGGAGTAATCATTTTATCACAAATAATCCTATTATGGACTTAAATAATTTAGATGACTTCATATAAACTAATCTCTGAAGTAAAAAAATTAATAACAAATAACCAGAATATCTCTCCAATTACAGCCCGAAGTGGGAAAGAGAGATTGAGATAGAATTTCTTTTTCAGGTCTGGTGTAAAACCCGGCTGGAGGTCAAAACATCTGTGCGTTCAGTCAACCTACAGGAAACATTCTATAAATTAATACATAGATGGTACCTCAAACCTTTTTATTTAGAAAGGTGCGATAAAATAACTATAAATCTATGCTGGAGGTGTAATCAGTTTTTGGGCACTCCATATCATATTTGGTGGGAATGTCCAAAACTGCAGACGATTAAAGAGGAAACAGAAAAAATTATATAAAAAATTCTACAGTCAGGCTTTACATTGAGATCACACGTATGGCTTTTGCACTTAGAATTACTTAAAATCGACAAAAACAATAGATACCTAATAATCAACATCTTATTAGCTATAAAAAAAATGTATAGCCATAGAATGGCGTAAACTAAATCCACCAGACTGGGCACAGATTGTCATATCTCATATCAAGGAAAAATGGAATATTACTATTACGTGATATAATAATAATTTAATAATAGTTTAACCTCATATCATAAAATCTGGACACCATGGTTTAAAATCTATGCAGAAAACATATTCCCTATGGGACTGATGCTCGCCCAGATTGGACTCTTGACTACGCATGGAGTGGATGTAGGGGAGGGACAATTTACTTAAATTACACATTGTATAGCATAACCTTTGTCTCTTGAAACAATAAGGATTGATGCTGAAGATGTTTGAACACAATATGAATGAGAGTATGGATGAATGAATGAATGAATGAAGGAGAGGATTTATCTTTTTTTTACCATCACAATGGCAACATCCTATCACAGCCTTTAGAAATACTTATAAATAAAATATCTGGGACTAATAGAATCATTCAATCTGTTAGCATATAATTAAGATGCCAGATTAAGTAATCACTAACATGACTGTAATCTAGCTGCTGTATTTTGATCGTTCACTGTATAATTTTCACCTGTTGGTGGTATCTATGTGTTATTTGTATAAAGAAAAAAAAAATCTCAATAAATTATACTAAAAGTTGTTCTTAAATGCAGGCTGTGATGTTTTCGGTGTTTGAAGTGTTCCTTTAAACTTAAAGCAGCAAAGTGAAATGTTAGAATAGAATTCACCTACATTCACACCGATTCACTGGTAAAAGCCCCACATCACCATAAAACCCATATTCTTTCTGTATTGACAGATTACCGCCATGGAGAGTAAGACACCTTGCACTACTGTGCATTTGTTTTACAATTTACAATGGACCACCACCTGTGTGACTGTATCTGACGACTAACGGAACCATCTTTCTGCTTCATTTACCATACAGTATTTATTGTATGTGTAGCAGAATGATAGATAGGTAATTAACAGCATCTCTGAGTGCTGAAAGTCATGCTGTGGATTGAATAGTCATACAAATGCAGGGGATCCCTTCTCAATGTATAGGATGCATGATTCTTGTAAGACGTCTATGTATTTATTTCCTGTTCCTTCTTTTGTGCAAAGAGCTATTGTGACTGAGGGATATTTTAGAAAAATAACACCACACAGAATAGAAGATATTTCATTATTTCTAATAATATTTAAGATATATTAACAACAGCATCAATCTGAAAGAACTGGACACCAAGATGCTACATGGTATCCTCCTTATTAGCTATTTATTTAATTATTTTTTTTACAATGTAGTACATATACCCCAAATAAATCACACATTCATTTTTGTCTGCGTGTTTTATTTTGGGAATATATAAAATATCAGTTTGCAAAAGCTGTACACCTGCTTTGAAAACCTTCCTGGCTGTATAATTAAAAGTAGTTGCAGCCCCCAATTATAAAATTACCAGTTTTTGTTGAAATCAATTGAAGTGTTTTATGTGTGTAGAGTGTTCCTTTAACATAGTTTGACTTATTATTTGTCTACACTTATTTTTTAGACATTTAAATCAAAATATTTTCACAGCTCCTTTTGCAAGCACTAGGTGTCACTATTGTATGTAAACTAAGTAAAATGAAGTAACATATTACTGATCAAGTAAAAACACATAAAGCGTTAATCCTAAAAATCAAATACTATAGGTATTTGCACCCAAAAAGAAAAAATAATTAGCCTCCTTTATAATGTTCCAAAGGATTGCTTTCAAACGGCTATTAGGAACAGAAAACTGCATAAGAGAAAAAAACATACAAAAATAAAAATAAGATCAATAAATATTTATAATATAGCCAAAATGACATTCGATTGCACTCACAAAATAAATAAAAATCATATCACCATTCTCCCATGGTAATGAAAGTATTTTCTTCCTTCAGAGCCAGATGTTATCAATTTATATAAGTAATAAAGCAGCGAAAACAAGTAGCTGCAATAGTGTGATAACATATAAAATAGGAGATACATTTATTAAAATAACACTCACAAGCACATAATTTGAAAGGCATATCAAAGAAACATCAGGAAATACTGTCTAACCTTATACATCCCAAATACATCTGCAATTTACATTTTCTAAAGCCAATTCTGTCCCACCGTTATGACTGCTTAAAGGACCACTATAGGCACCCAGACCACTTCAGCTTAATAAAGTGGTCTGGGTGCCAGGTCCATCTAGGGTTAACCCTGCTTGCTGTAAACGTAGCAGTTTCACAGTGAAAAGACGCTGACATCCATAGGAAAGCATTGGCCAGTCTACTTGGGTCTAACTATTCCTGCAAATGTGGAGAGAAATGCTTTGATCTTAATGAAAAACATGAAACTCAATTTTAAAAAATGGCAAAATCTGGAAACTTCGTGGATAGGTAGAATCAATATTATAAATTCCTACATTTTACCTAAGTGGTTATATTTTTTTTCTATGGTCCCACTAAAAATGCCCAAGCCTTGGTTAGCAATGATTCAATCAAGTTTTAATAATTTTATCTGGAAGAATAAAAAACCTAGAATTAGCCAGAAAATTCTATCTAAAAAGTTATTTTAGGGTGGCCTTAGTTTTCCAAGTATTACTTATATTTATTTTGCCAATATTATCCGTCATATATATATTCTTCAAGATCCACAGGTTTTTTGTGAACCATGGTTCATTTTGGAGTCGAAAGCTGCCCATACTTCTAGACTATATTACTATATGTGGTTGGATATCAGGGGGATTTTAAATGATCCTACCATAAGTTATCCATCTACTTTGGTTCAAACTCTAGAAGCCTGGGCAGAAATTAAGAAAACTCTGGGTTTTGTACAAATAATCCTGAGATCTTGTAAACTTAATATATTAGAATGTATTATAGAAGATTTTTCTTTGAGACACTGGGGAAATAATGATTCACTAATTATCTCGGACATTATGCAAGGAGATACTATTTTGCCTTTCCAACAGATTGTCGATAACATACATATTTCTCCTAGAGAGATATTTACTTATCTTCATTTAAACATTTCCCATTGGCAAAGAAGTTGGAAAGTCTATTTTGCTACCGATCGGTTTCTAAGGTCACTTCTGTTGCTATCTCTCTGCTTGATGAATCTAAGATCACCCCCCAGAAATTGATTAATACATGGGAGAAGGAATTAAATTTAGTGATTCCCCTAAATGATTGGCTTTTCTCCTTAACTTATACAAACAAATATATACATTGTCTTAATCTGACTGAATGCCATTTCAAGGTCGTACACAGATGGTATTTTAAACCAACAAGACTGGCCAAAATGTACGATACATATGATTCTACTTGTTGGAGATGTGGCACGCACCTGGACACATATACTCATATATGGTGGGCCTGTCCACTAGTTAAATCGCTTTGGTGTGGGCATTTAATATCTTCTACACAGTTACACTTAATAAACTCAATAAAAACCCGGCTTTTGCCCTTCTACACTTGAATTGGCAATTAAAGTCGCATAAATATATTTGTTTTGCTATTCACTGCTTTGTTGCAGTTAAAATTATTATTGCCAGACATTGGAAGTCCTCTAACCCATTCCACAAATCCCATTTGATTGATCAAATTATATTTCAACTGACAATGGAAAAAGATATCATAAGTAATAGGACTGTTTTTTCCCAAAAAAACAGAATGGTACTCTAACTGGCTCCAAAAACTTTCCAACATTTAACGGTAATATACTTCTGGTTTAGCTTTTTTAGTTAAATAGGACTATGGTTATTGACAATCTTCCATGGGCTTTGTGTCTTGAACAGTATAAAAATATACAATAACAATAGTGGTTACAAGTGGG